TGCTTGATCCTCATCTCGATCTTCTCCGGTCGGTCCTCCTCCTTCTTGAGGATGGAGGAGACGATGCGCCACGTCGCCCTGCGCGAGCCGATGACGTTCTTGTAGGCCACGCTGAAGATGTTGCGCTCCTCGACGGACAGACCCTCACCGGTCTTCAGCGACGCAGCGACCTTCTTGATGGCCGCCACCATCTCGTCGTAGCGCTCGGCCTGCTCGGCGAGCTTGGCTTCGTAGATGTTGGCCTCGCGTTCGGTCGTCATTTTTCTGGGCGGTGGTGTGGTGCGTGAGTGGTGAGGTGTGTGCGGTTTGTGGTGCGTTGGCGCGACTGAGAGAGACAGAGAAAGACAACAACGCGCAGACTGGCGTGGCCCCAGAAATAAAGAGACAACCGCTGGTTGCGGAGCAGCAATTTATTAAAAAGAACATAACTCGAATTCCAAAAGGAATGTTTGCAGTATTTGAAGCAACAAACCCCCACATCATGCACCCTGCGCTGCTTTACCCCTATCCAATTGGTCTTAGCAGACACTCTAGCTGACCCTTCACCCCTCAGCCTCAAGATATAGGAGTATACAACAGTGCTAGAACAAGGGATGTTTGTGAGTGGAGTAGAAAGAACAGGCCAAGAAAAGTGCACCAATAGGCTCATTTACAAAGAGCCTCTTCCTTTATTCTTAAGCTCCCAATCTTATTTCCTATCCTTAGCTGTTATGCTTGGAATCCCTCTTTTGCACTTATCAGCCCATATTGCCCCCATTTGGATGGGCCAAGGGGAGTGCCCATACAAAGGCAAGCACTGTTTCATGAACACCACCCAGACATATGTTTGAGGTACTTGCCAACTGTTGCAACACCACTCAGTAACATAGAAGTCAATGCCCTTACCACATATCTTCTATTGTCTGTCCCAGGCTGAATACAAGCAAGCCAAAGCCATCACAGCCTGGTCATTTAAGCCACCATGCACCCCACCTCCCTTTCAAGCCTGCAAGCAGCCCTGATAAAGACCACCCTCACTCTCCTCCTCCTTCCAGCTGCTGGGCTGACATC